AAATATTTCATTAGTAAAGACTAATTCCAGTCAAAGGGAAGTTATCGCTATGCTGGTACATCATTACTTGCATAAATATAAATCTTAATGTTCTTATAAAACCGTTTTGTGTTTCTTCTTATTGTTTAATATTTTGTGGTATTTTGCTTTAAATATAAATTCAAGAGGTCACACCAACTAACCGGCCTCAACGATATGGCCATAAGCCACGGTCTAATCAGAAGTTTACCTGAGGACCGTTTTTTAGAAAATATTTATACTAATTGCAGAATTTAGAAGTATTACATCTTATATAATATATATTATTATATTATAAGTAAGGAGGCATGGTAGAGTAGATAATGGATCTGATTGAGGAACTGGAGAGCAGAGTTCGAATTCCAATCAAATCCATTATATTCACATACATTCTAATACCCTTAGGAAAGGTATGAATCCTCTTCTACTCCCACCAGTTATGGGTAAATAGCAGGATAGACTGGGTTCTATAGCCTTGGATGGCAACTGGTCCGCCATAGTAAGAAATGGCAACCTACAGCAAGAAAAAATAATCTTGCCTTGTCAGTCATGTATCAAAAGATACATGATTGCCTAAGCGTGCATCACACATGGTACATAACTGACTGACTTATAAGTAATAAGTACTTATATAATATATTATTATGTAAGTAAGTAGCAGTAGAGCCCGGTGTTGCCCGGGGATGTAACAGTAAGAGATAGATCAAGTATCGACCATCATAAAGACTGAAAAATAAAATTGACAAGGATTATTGTTTAAGGTTGATGGACACGCATAGTTTTTTTTTTTTTAACAATTAGTCAAACCCAAACAAAAACATTGTTTTCAATCGTTATGAGTCTACCGATTGAATAAAATTTTATTATAAACAATTGTCTTGTAAATGGAATTTTTAAAGCATTCTGAATGTAAAAATAAAGAAAAAAAGTGTGCAAGAGAATAAGAAACACTACCTGCCCAAAAAAAAGTGAAGTTTTCTTGAAATCGGTTGAAAAATGTAGGAAATCCGATCCCATATATAAAGGAACACACACACCCAACACCTGGGTTTTATAATAATAAGTATAAATCGATATGAGTTGTCCCCCTTTCATTCTCAGCGATGCCTCTTGTGTTTTCAAATTGATTTCATGCAAAAACAATTGTGTTTTTCCAATTTTTGGCGCTGTCAGAACCACTGCAAGGTAATTTTACATAGTCCTGTGAAGTTTTGTTGGATCGGATTTCCTACATTTTTCAATCGATTTCAATATATAAATGAACAGACACACAAACACACACAACCTGGGTTTTATAATAAGTATGATAAGTAATTATAATTATAAATACTCTATCTTTTTTAGGGGGATAGGAAAAAAAAAAAATTAACTAAAATGATTTGTCCAGCCAATAAACAAGATTAACAAAAAGAAACTTACTCGTCCGGTTTCTTTGAGAGTTCCACCAGTAAGAACCAAGTCATCAACAATAACTACAGTCTTGCCATTTGGATCTCCTGAAAGAAAAAATATACAAGAGAAATAAAAAAATTATTTGCTTTTATCTTTTCTAAAATTTCTTTGCTAATAAACTTTGTGCCTAATTACTCACCATCTTTGATCTGGACATTTCTCTTGTTGCCAACTCTTGTCTTGTTAAAAATGATACAATCATCCTGTGGAAAGTAACTCTTGAAACGTTTGCAGGCACCATCATCAGGAAATGCTACAGTGTAGTTACCCTGACCAAAAACGTGCTCCAGCTCAAGTTTTAACAGCGGAATTGCAGATTCTAACCTGAAAAGAGACAAAATTACAGAAGTAAAACTGGGCAAAAATGTTATCACAGTAACAAAAGTTTTATTTCCATGGTTCCCAACATGGGGCACACACCCAACAGGGGCCAATTCAAGAATGATTTATTAACAGTTAATTTTTTTCCTAGTGATTCTGTGAGTATGTGTGTGTGCACAAGTTAATATATACGGTGGATATACAGCATGCATACATAAAAATATTTGTGTGTATGTACATGTGTAATATAAATTTTTTTAAAACAGTTTCTTAGTAATTTCATCCTCAGTACTTCAACTGCCCTTTCATTCTTTTATTTTTCTCTTTTATGGCTGCTATGTTCCTTGTAAGGTTTTTAGGCTTCCTCCATGTGAATAGGAATTCACTTTTTTGTCGTGTGCTGGGGGCATCAAAATTTTATGTATGCTTAGGTGGGGCATGCCCACTGGTTTTAAAGAGAGAAAAAAAGGAGAGAGAAAAAAAGGAGAGAGAAAAAAGAAATAAAGAAATAAAGAAATAAAGAAATAAAGAAATGAAGAAAAAAAGAAATAAAGAAAAAAAGAAATAAAGAAAAAAAGAAATAAAGAAAAAAAGAAATAAAGAAAAAAAGAAATAAAGAAAAAAATAAAAAAAAAAAAAATAAAGAAAAAAAGAAAAAAAGAAAAAAAGAAAAAAAGAAATAAAGAAAAAAATATTTTTTTTAATCATTTCACCCCCAAAAGCTATAATGCCATTAAGATGTAGGAGGTCACAGGGAATGAAAGTGAATGGGAGGGGATCGAGGAAAGGACAAAAAAAAAAAAACAATAACAGGTTTCAAGAAGTCAGAAGATGGCGATTGATATTGCATTCAAATTTTTGAAGATTGTACTTAGGGAAGCAAGAAATTGGAAGGGAGTTCTGCAGGTGAGAAGTGCGAAAAAAAAACTGTTAGAGTAGAAGTAACATTTGCATCTAGCTATTTCATGGTGAGACCTAGTTGTCAATCTATTGTAAAAGATTGATATTAACACAAGCAAAATTATTACTGAATTATTTATGCCCAATGTTGCAAATTACCAGAAATTTAGTTTAGATTGATAGATTTGTTTTTACAGTTTGTCAACCATTTGCAGGTTATTTAAAGCCAGAAAATGTTTTAGATTGTAAGAATTTTGGAGAGATAATGACTTACTGATACAAGTCTTACTAATTAACCCATAGGTGGGGAGGAGAAGCAGTGGATTCATACATTTCCCAAGAATGTAAGTGAATATAATAACCCTGACTGGAATTGAAACTCAGCTTTCCAATTCCCAGTTCTGAGCTCTTATCCATTACACCACCTTCACATCCAAGCAGATTCATTTTAGAACAAGGATCAAAAACAAAGAAATTATTCTAAAAAGTAACCATGATTGCTGGTCAAAATATAAAATATTAAATTGAAGATTTTTTTTTTTACAAAAAACTAAATGTCCTTACAAGATCTGTTTTAAGTACAAAGAAATGCAACTAATTTTATTTGATTGTTTAATGGCATATCAGCACCCTATGGGTCATTTAATGCCAAAATTTAATTTTCTTGGGATTTTTGAAGTAATAAATAATATGTTCACTATTTACATTGTTCAGACTATCATCCTCATCTTTGTTGCCATATTAATCACAACATTTCAGCTGTTGTATGCTCTGGCCTTCTTCAGGTGGTTGAAATGTTGAACTGAACTCTTTATTACACTTGTTGGGGTAGACTGCTCTAGTTCCACATGCCATGTCTAATGGATGTCAGTTATCAGTTATCTCCTGTTAATTCCCCTCTCCAAATTCTCCACCACCTTAACCAGGTATTAAACTCACACTCTTTGGGTCTTGTCACTGGATCTAACTAATGCCTTTATTCACTGTGCCATGAGTCCTTGAGGACAACTGTATGAAATTCTGGGTATTATAAACCTAATGTCTTCAGCCTTAATTTTTTTACCAGTGCTCATACTGCAATTTTTGTTGTTATCATTGCATGTTTAGTTTTTTTTTTTTTTTTACCAGAGTTCATATTGCAATTTTCATTCCAACCACCTGAAGAAGGCTGGAGCATACAATTGCCAAAATGTTGTGATAAATATGGCAACAAAGATGAAGATGATAGTCCAAACAATGTAAATAGTGTACATAATACCTTATCTCAGAAATATAGAAAAATAATGTTGTATGTTATTCTGCTTTCACAATTGAATATATGGTAGATGATACTCTGCATTTGTGCATATACAAGTTTGTGTCAACATAATTACTAGAGGCGGTGATATGTGTTTTATGTTGTAGTTTTGTTGAATTTATATTTTGGAATGTAGGTTGATTTCTTTAAGAAATTGTAGGATATTATATGGATTAATGTTATGAAAGAGTGCTTTCATGATGATTAATGTATTGTTGGTAATTTTACTATAAATAGGTACTGTTGGTAATTTTTTTTTATATAAAAATGTATTGCTAGTATTTTTACTAAAAAAAATGTATTTATATACTTTCATAGTATTCAGTGTTTGCCAATAGCTGGAATCCTAACAGATGCTACCACCAAGGGTAAGAGTGGACTTGGGAACAGCAGCAAGTAAGTGGTACCACACTCATCAAAACCTCCAATCTCCAGATCAGAGGCCTTGCTGCCAGATATAGTTTACCATCATACCAGGACTGAAATGCATCTAAATTTAAAACCTATCAAGATACTATCTTGTGAATGATATTTTGTGGGTGGGGAGGTGTCAACCAAAAAAAAAAACAAAAACAAAAACAAAAAAAAAAAAAAAAAAAAAAAAAAAAAAAAAAAAAAAAAAAAAAAAAAAAACAAAACAACTATATCCACTTATTATGACCAGCTGCAATTTACAGATTATTACACTTCATGCCAACCTCCTCACAACTTAACAGAAGTTTTTTGTTTGAGTAATTCATAAAAAACAAAAAAACAAAAAAACTAAGACATGAGTGTCCGTCAACCTTAAACAATAATCTTTGTCAATTTTATTTTTCAGTCTTTATGATGGTCGATACTTGATCTATCTCTTACTGTTACATCCCCAGGCAACGCCGGGCTCTACTGCTAGTAATATATAGTTTGCTGTAAAAGAAAATTCAATGCTTAATTTTACATAAACAATATTGTCCTTTTATCATCTGTTATAAGCCCACAATGAAGACATTTATTGTCAGCTATACAGTGATGTTCACTCTGCACAAGACCCAAGGGCCACTCAAGGTAGAGTTACAAAGTAAGAGGCACAACTTATACGAATATGTGGGGGAGATAATGGTTAACCCTAAACAGGTTAAGATTGTAATGATCGGGGAAGCAACCTCTTGGCAGTTGGTTCCACAAGGCAGTGGTTTGTGGCAAGAAGCTGCTCGAGTGGAACTTACATCTCCCCAAAGGAATACAAAGGGAATGGGGGTGGTTGACTACAATGTGAGTGGCATTGTGAGGAAAAGGTTATTAGAAGCAAAGGAAACAGTGCTGAACTGCTATGCAATATCAAATCTCTTATATAGCAATGAATGCTAAATAATCTTTTCAGAGAGACTTGAAAAGATTAATGTAATTCTGACAAATGCTGAGAAAAACCACACAAGCCACAAAGAGTTACAAAGAAACTTATACTTACAATTAGAAAGTGAAAGTTGAAAGTTTTGGGACACAATGAGGGAAGAGGCCTGGAGAATCTAACACTCACAGGGCACATTGAAGGCAAGAAAAGCAGGGGGAGAAAGAGAGTAAATACTTAAATTTGTGTGAATGGGTGTAAAAACATGGAAAGAGAGGGATGATGTCATTAGTAGTTTAGAGCAACAAAAAACAGGAAGTTGTGGAGAGATGATCATGTATATTCTGAATGGATAAAGGCAGATAAAAAAGAAAACTAGTCAGAGGTAATACTTCACAGTATTAGCCATAAACTGTTGCTAAAGAATTGTTTAGGTGTTTTTGTTTTTTTAAACAAAGAACATGGAAAAGAGTTTTAAAAGAAAAATTTCATTAAAGAGTTTAAAAAAATTAAACTATTAAAAATAAAATAATTAAAAGAGTTTAAAAATGTTAATTTAAGTTTTAAAAAATTAAAGAGTTAAAAAAAAAAAAAAAAAAAAAAATTAAGTTAAAATTTTATGTTTTTTTCTTGTGAATTAGAATTTATCTAATAAATTTTTTGTTGTATTATTTTTGTCTTCCTTTCATTGTACAGAAAGAAAGGTATCAGATTTGATCTTTGAGTTGTAATGCTTATGTGAAAAGTAATTACCTGGGTATAACATTGTCAGAAAAGTAGAAACGTTCTTGAAGAGCATGAATATCAAGGATTGTGATTTGAGCAGGTCCTTTTGTTGTTAGTGGAATGTGTGACAAAAGAGAAGCAAGTGTCTGGAAAAAAAAAAAATTATTTTCATCAGCAAGTTCAGAAGACTCATTTCTAGTAATAAGATTGCCATACATATTTGAGTTTTTATGATTATTTTTTTTCATGCAAAAAAAAAAAAAAAAAAAAAAAAAAAAGGTAATTGCCTTATAGACAGGAATTTTTTTGTTTTGAAGACTAAAAATCATACATTTTTGGTAACTGGTTACACTATACACAGGTAAAGTTTTATTCTGGAGGGGTTAAAATTCCTGCAAAAATATCCAGGGAGTTGCACTATAGATGAAGTCAACTTATATACACAAGCATATACAGGAGGTTTCTTTCAAACTATTATTTATTTACTTTTTTTTACATGTTCTTTATAACTTATTTTTAGTTTAATATTTAAAAAGAATATTTTTGTTAACAAAATATGTTACAAGGTGTAAAAAATGAAAGAAGATAAATGGTAACCAATAGATTTCTTTTGTGTGATCTCCTTTTAGGATGTGGGCAATCATGGCTCTCCACAAACTTCTTTTTGTTGTTGCTCCCATTTCTGTCATCTGTTCACACAAACTTGCTAACTACATGACCCACTGTTTCCTCCTCTGGCTCTTCACAATGTCCTGTGAATGTTAAGATTTCCAAAATATTTTTCATTTTTTGCTTCATATGGAAAGATTTTATTGGCTAAAACCCATTTATATAAAAGTTCAAGATCAATATTGAAATACTGAATTTGTTTATAGCTTTTACTAATTTGCAAAAGATTTGATTGATTTGAGTAAATTATGCTTTTATGAAGATTGTTGATGTAAATTATGAAGAGTAATGGCCCTAATATAGAACCTTGAGGAACTTTTGTGTTCAATTTTGCAATGACAAATCAACTCCTAGAATTAAAACATACTGCTTCCTGTCATGAAAGATCTAAGCCAATTGTTAATCATTCCTCCAAGTCTATAATAATTTAACTTTTCCAGTAATAAAGAGTGTTCTAATAACTTGGACCAATTTTAAATGTGAAAAAGTTCAAGTGTCTAATGATATTTTTCTTTTAGATTTAACAACTTAAGTCTTTGGCAATTTCAGCCATGGAAAGATTAACAATATATAAAGAGTGTTCCAATAACTGATTTTAAATGTGAATTAAGTTTAAGCATCTAATGATTTTTTTTCTTTATCTTTCAGATTTAACAACTTAAGTCTTTGGCAATTTTAGCCATGGAAAGATTAACAATCAAATGTGTTAAAGTTTCAAGAGTGCATTTGGAAAAATTATTCGTAAATTCAAACAAACTGGGTCAGTGGTAGATGTGAAAACACCCTTGTGTGCTTGTTTATGCTATTCAGCTGAAAACGTTACATGAATGTGGCTGAAAATCTAGACAATTCTGTTTGTCATCGCATGCAGGAATTGAACCTCTTCACAACGTTACGTTTCCAATTGCATTCTCGGTTGGTTTATTATGTTGACCAAAAGGAAAAAAAAAAAAAAATGTAGTGTACAAAATGCATTTCTCTTTGAACGTCCATTTTCGTAATAGGTTTCAATAACTAACACATTTATCTCATGATTTATGGTATCAAAAATATTTTATAAAGGTCAACAAATATTCTAATGCTTTAAATTTTTTTTTTCCAAATGTGAGCTGTTATGTCAATGATAGTATGAGAGGTTTTTCACTAAACCAAAGCTACTTTCACAGAAATGAAGATATGTTAATACTTGACTAATGTGGAAGAAGACTGAGAAATTGAAAGACCCAAGTCAATACAAGCTTTTCAAAGATAATATTGAATAAGGTGAGATGGGTTGGTAACTGCCTTCTTAAAAATAGGTATTACCTTTGAGTTTTTCTGAATGCACTCCAGAACAAAATTCAGTCAGTCAGTTATGTGTGATGTGTTGCCATTTCTTATGCAGTAGATCAGTTATCATCAAAGGCTATAGAACCCAGTCTGTCCTATTTACCCATAGCTGGGGGGGGGAGAGAGAAAAAGAGGATTCATACCTTTCCCAAGGGTATTAGCATGTATGTGAATATAATGGATTTGATTGGAATTCAAACTCTGCTCTCCGATTCCTCAAACCGAGCCGCTATCCATTACCCCATCATGCCTCAAAAACAAAATTAGGAATTTATAATACCTGACATGAATTTAATGATTTAAAGTTTTATGATTTGAAAAATGTCAAAGGGAACGCTATAAGGTTGCCATCCTGGGTATGCTGATAAACTACATCTGCGTCCTGGGTAAAACAATAAACGACATCCAACAGCAAGGCCTTTGATCAGGTTTTGAGGAGTGTGGAACCACTTAATTGCAGGTGTTCCCAGGTCTACCCTGACCTGGAGTGGTAACACCTGTTAGGGTCCCAGCTATTGGCAAACTGTTAGCATTTAATAACCCATTGAAGTTCATATGCAGTAAACCAAATCATACCAAAGATTTAAGGTTTACCAGCTTTGTTTTTTGTTTTCACACTGTTCAAGGCCTAGGTGTTTAGGTAGAGGGTTACAGAGTAAGAGGCACAGTTTATGTGGATAAATGAGGAAGATAATGATTAATCCTAGATTTGACCAGATTAAGATTGTAGCAATTGAGGGAGCATCCTCTTGGGAGTCAGTTCCACAGGGCAGTGGTTCACAGGAAGAAACTGCTTGTGTGGAACTTACTCCTTACCAATGGAATATAGAGGGAACAAAGATGGCTTGCTACACTGTGAGTGGCATGGTGGATCCTAACTGTGAAGGTTAGAACTAATGGAACCAAAGAATGTGGTTCTTCCAAGCACTTTCCATGGAAGTAGCGATAGAGCAGTGAGAAGTCTGCCACATCTTGTCTGTGAGAGAGGGGTTACAGGGTCATCATCAAGGATACAGAGATGCTTTTGGCCTATTGAGACTGGAAAGTGAGGACTGGGCAGATCCTCCCCATATGTAACAACAGTCTTCCATTTTCGGCCTGATCTGGTTCTTGTAAAAGTAAATGATAGCACGAGTAGTCAGGTACTTACTGGAGTGATACAGAGAAATGACAATTTTTCCTGCATTTTTAGCAATGGATCATATGTACGAGTTCCACTTGAGGTCTGGTGCGAGTTTAAGGCCTAATAGTTGCTCAAGGCATGAGGCCTCTCTGAGGAGATATCTATTCATGGTAACTGGTGTTAATTTGCAGTTAAGAAATCAGTGAAAGAGATTGGTTTCATCCATAGATTTATAATTAACAAGTTGCAGTTCTTTTAAATCTCTAAATGTTTTGCTTCCAATTTTTTTCTTTTGTTTTGTTTTTGGGGTCTTCAAAATCAAAGAAGCAATATTAAAGAAGTTTTTGCTGAAGCAATTAGAAATTTCTGGACAACGATATATTTATTGCGATATATATTCTTGATTTAAGCAAGTTTCTAAATAGTTACATATTTATCTAGCCATTTTTCTATATCACAAAAGAACTTATTGAGTGAAATGTCTGGATCCTCTTTAGCTAAGTTTAATACTGTTATATTTTTGTAAAGAAAAAAAAAAGAAAAGAAATAAGGAAACTATCTTTACTGTCCACGTGACTTTTTCACACGTCCCCATTCCTCTTTAAAAGCTGCGTTCTTCTTCCTTTGTTGATTGCTGCTGTGAATTAAGTTCAGTAAAGCCTTAGTGAAAGGTTACTAGCTTTCTTCTCTGAGCAACGTAACAATTTACTGAACTTACTTCCTCATGGACAAGATTATTCGTCTGGACAAGTTTGATATATCTTCTGCAGACCCTCAGGCTAGCAAGCTCTGGCGACTATGGTACCATAATTTTAATTATTACTTATCAACTATTGCTTCTTTAAACCCAGACAAACTCGAAGTCCTTTATTTAAACATCGGTGCTACCGTTGCTGATGTTATCGAGGGTTGTTCTGGATTTGAACATGCTGTTGAATTGCTGAGAAGTGTTTATGACAAGTCTCCAAGTATTATTCACGCTAGACATTTGTTGTCTACACGTCTGCAGCAGGAAAATGAGTCTGTAGACCAATACCTTCAGGCCTTGAATCGACTTGCTGCTGACTGTTGCTTCCAAGATGTTACTGCTACTACTTACAGGGATGAATCTGTCCGTGATGCATTTATACATGGTCTCCGGTCCCTCGTAATATGTGCCAGACTGCTTGAAAATGATATGCTAACTCTCAAGGAGGCTACTCAATGTGCTAGAGCCTTAGAACAGGCTCACTTTCATGCTGAGTCATACACTTCTCAGATTGGATCAACTGCTGCTACTACCACTAGGACTAAAAATGTGTTTACCGATTCTGCCGAGGAGGCCACTTCCACTACTATTACTAAAAATATGCTTTCAGACTTAACTGATTCTCGTACGGAGTGTGACTCTGTACAATTGTCTGCTGCCTTTGCTCGTGGCAAGTGCTACAACTGTGGAGGAAAACGTCACTTTAAGGATAATTGTCGCTATTGTCCTGCCCGTGATAAGATATGTCGAAACTGTGGCAAACTTGGTCATTTTTCTAAAGTTTGCCGTTCTACCATGCTGGCACCTTCACGTTCTACTTCAGCTATTATAGTAGCCCGTGCTAAAAAGACGATGATAGGTCTCCTCCAGTTACTAAAACTTTAGAATTAAAAGGAAAGAGATTAACTGCCCTCATAGACACAGTAGTTCTGATAACTTTATCAGTGCCCGTATTGTTAAAACAATGAAACTGTCTACTTCTAAACGAATTCCGTAATTTCCATGGCTTCATCTGCCATTTCCTTCAAACTATCTGAATATTGTACTGAGGACATTATCTTCAATGGTTACGAATATAAACAAATTGACTTTACAGTACTTCCTGATTCCTGTATGGATATTATACTCAGAGTGCCCTTCTTAAAACTACACCAGAGTATCACTATTTCTTTTGGTGGATCTCAGGATATTCTAAAAATCTGCGCACTAACCAAGATCAGTTGTGCTCCTGTTAAGTTGTTCGAAACTTGACCCCTGATTGCAAACCTATTGCTACTAAATCCCGAAATTACCGTGAGGATGGTCGGTTCATTGAAAAAGAAATTCTACAACTGCTTAAGGATGATATAATTGAAACAAGTTACTCTCCGTGGCGTGCTCAAATTGTCGTAACTTCGTCACCTAATAAAAAGAAACGATTGGTAGTCGATTTCTCCCAGACTATTAATCGGTTCACCTTACTTGATGCCTACCCCTTGCCTTGAATTGAAGATCTCGTAAACCAAATAGCCCAGTATCGTATCTATAGTATAATTGACTTGTCCAAAGCATACTATCAGATTGAAATTTGCCCTGAAGATCGTCCCTATACGGCCTTTCAAGCTGGAAACCATCTGTACCAATTTAAACGAATACCCATGGGTGTTACTAACGGGGTCTCTGCCTTTCAGCGATTTATGAATTCTTTCATTTCTGATAACAAATTATCTGGAACCTTTTCGTATATAGATGATATAACTGTTTGTGGTAAAACCCAGGAGGAGCACGATGTCAATTTGGAATGTTTCTTAAAGGCTGCCTCGACATACAACCTCGAAATAAACCAGGAAAAATCAGAGTTTTCACTTCATTCTATTAATTCGTTAAAAAGGTGTCTTGGTATGTTTGCTTACTATGCGAAATGGATACCTAAATATTCACACAAAATTCGTCTACTGGTCGAAAATAAACAATTCCCTATGCCTCCTATAGTTATAAATTCTTTCGAAAAACTTAAGACATTGCCGAGTCATCTGTAAAAGTTATTGATGATGAATTGCCATTTACTATTGAAACTGATGCCTCAGAAAAGGCTATTGGAGGCACTCTTTTACAAGCTGAGCGACCTGTAGCATTCTTTTCTCGGTCGCTAAACCCCTCTGAAATACGACTTCACATAGTTGAAAAAGAAGCATATGCTATAGTCGAATGCGTTAAGTAAATGGCGAGACCTCCTTGCGGTAAACATTTTACTATTATTACTGATCAACAAGCCGTATCTTTTATGTTTAAACCTGCTAATCGCGGAAAAATTAAAAACGATAAAATTATAAGGTGGAAAATGGAACTTCTTCCCTTTTCATACGACATAAAACACCGTCCTGGAAATGAAAACACAGTTGCGGATACCTTATCCAGAGTATGTGGTGCTGCTGCTTCTTCCTTGAAGGAACTTAAATCGATACACGATTCCTTAATACATCCTGGGGTACAGCGCTTTTGGCATTTTGTAAGGTCTCAGAATATGCCCGTATTTGCTTGATGAAGTCCCGACGTGTGACTTCTGAATGTACGACCTGTGCCAAAATAAAACCCCAATTCTTCGATTCTACTAGTAATGTTCTGATCCGTTCTACTGCGCCATTTCAGCGTCTCTCCATAGACTACAAAGAGGCCTGTCCGGTATCCCCGACAGGTTACCGATATATACTTACTGTCATCGACGAATATAGTCGATTTCCCTTTGCCTTTCCTTGCCGCGATTGCTCTTCGCCAAACTGCTATTCAGTGCCTGACAAGTATTTTCTCCATTTTCGAGCTTCCCTCGTTCATTCCTCCGATCGAGGAACTTCGTTTATGTCAGGAGAATTTAAACAATTTCTAACACGACTTGGAATTGGATTCAGTAATACTACTGCTTATAACCCTAGAGGCAATAGCCAATGCGAATGTTACAACGGCATAATTTGGAATACCATATTATTGGCCCTGGAATCGAAACAGTTACCAATTAGTGCTTGGCAGGATGTTCTACATGATGTGTTAAATGCTATCCGCTCCCCTGCCATGTACCACTACGAATGCAACCCCCACGAACGAATGTTCAATTTTTGAAAGGCGGTCCTCCACGGTACTGCGTTGCCTGTTTGGCTCTGTGAGCCTGGGGAGGTATTATTAAAAGCGATTCGATGGCAGAAGTAAATATGACCCTATCGTTGAGGTGGTGGAACTCCTTGAGGCCAATCTCGCATGCCAAAATACGTCACAATGATGGCCGGGAAGATTCGGTGGCGCTGAGACGGTTGGCACGTTTTTCCACGCCCGGATGGACCTCAAAATGGACCTGAAAATACTCAACCCGTCGTGGACCATGCAGATTCAACCCTTTTGCCTGATGCATGTCCCTGTTAAATTTCTTCACCTTTCACAGAAAATGAATTTGTGAATAATAGCCAGAATCCTGAAAGTCAGCCTTCTCAGAGGTCTGGCTCTTCCAGTGGTGAACTACCTCTACACCGGTCTAGCAGGATTCATAGACCAATCCAACGACTGGATTTATAAAACCTATTCAATTACGATCTCTTTTGCAAGTGGGGGAGAATGTTATATTTTCGTAAAGAAAAAAAAAGAAAAGAAATAAGGAAACTATCTTTACTGTCCACGTGACTTTTTCACACGTCCCCATTCCTCTTTAAAAGCTGCGTTCTTCTTCCTTTGTTGATTGCTGCTGTGAATTAAGTTCAGTAAAGCCTTAGTGAAAGGTTACTAGCTTTCTTCTCTGAGCAACGTAACAAATACATTAAGCCAAATAATGCTTATTATATTCATAAGAAATTTCTACTTCACTTCTTTGTTGAAGAAAATTACCAGATGTTTTACTTACTGTATCCAAACTGAACTTGTTATAGAATATGTTAGACTAACTTTTTCACCATCATCGCTGAACTGTTACCAAAAATGTATGATTTTTAGTCTTCAAAACAAAAAAAAAAAAAAAATATTTTAAACTGTCCTGAAATGTAAATGTGTATATTTTTCTCTTTATTTAACTTTGTTATCATTAATAGAATTTGGTAGCATAATGCTTTTATTATTATTTATTATTCACAAAATAAGGTCAGCTTTAATCTATTTCTTAAACGTTTAAGAAATAGATTAAAGCTGACCTTATTTTGTGAATTTTTGCTACAATGAAGACCTATAACTTTGTGAACTATGGATGCCCAATGAGTCAGAATTATTTTAAGCATGCCACAACTCCTTTAATATCAGGCAGACCAAATTACAGGTCATTGAAACATCAAAAATAGCAGGAAATCCACAATAAAATTTATGCAATACGGCAGTCGAAAATTACCTTGGTGTAATTCATATTCCATCTGATCTAACTTGTTAGATTTAATATGAACACAAAGGTTAAAGAGATCACATTGATTGTTGCTATGGACACTTTTGTGACAAATTTTATGGGGCAAATGTATCATAGAAAACAGAGATATAAGATGGAAAAGAATAGGAATTAAAATAAACTATAAACATCAAGGATGACTTTGCTATCATAGAAAGTATTAATCCATTCAAGGGAGAGAACTGAATACTTTCGTGCTGAATTGGTTTCGGCATTTACAAGTGGACGTAAAAAGTGAGATTAATTTCACACAAATTTTCCCATTATATATATATATATATATATATATATATATATATACACACACACACATTAAAAAAAGAGAAAACATTTCGAATGAAACTAAACTAGTAGTACTGGCATAAAGTATAAAAACGTATTTAGTAACTCTTTGGTTAATTTTTATAATTTTTTTTGAGTTGTGGCTGATTTTTAGTTAATTCAGCTCAATATAAAGTTACTTATCACAAATATTAATCTAACAAGAAATTTTAAATCAAAGTTTGCGTTTTTTTAAAAATTTTTTTTTAAATTATAAATTTTAAAACAAAATTTGTTTAGCTTGCCTCCCAACTCCAACCATCAGAATGAAAAATCATCAAAATCAGGGAGTTATTTACATTTTGTAAGTGCGGATTATATTCAAGGCACTTACAAGTAATTTTTTACAATTAGAAAAAAAAAAAAAAAAAAAAAAAAAAAAATTGAATGGAAGAAAAAAAAAAAATTGAAAAAAAAAAAAAAAAAAAATTGAAAGAAAAAAAATTGAAAATTGAAAAATTGAAATTTTTGCCTTGTTTATTGGAGTGGTTGCAAATGTAGACCCCACACTTAAAAAAAAAAAAAAAATAGGGCACCTGACTCACCAGCATTTAGGGGCAATCGCAAAGGTAAACCCAACTGGAGTGCAATGGAATGGCCTCACTCTTGGAGAATTTCATGTGAATTTTAGTAAATATAAATTTTTTTGATTTTGAGGGTGAGTTAAGATTTTGGGATGAATTAACAGAAAAGATCAGATTTGCTTAAGCCACACCGACATCAGCATTGAAGTTGATTAAGATTTCGTCATATTTAAGTACAGTTGCTTATAAATGAGTTGTTTTTTTTGTTTTTTTTAAAGCGTTTCACCCCAAGCAAGGCGAGAAGCCACTAGGACGCAAGGGGTTACAGAAAATCAAGATCAGAAGCAAGATCAGATAGGAGTGATAGAAGAAAGGATGAGGAGAAGGGTAGTGGATAGATCAAGGCAACTGGAGATGTCAATTGACATTACATTTGAATAGTTGGAGTTTATAGCTCTCAGGAAAACTGGAATAGGGAAGGGAGTTCCACAGGCGAGAGGTGCGAGACATGAAGCTATTGGAGTAGAAGAGACGGCTACATTTAGGAGTTTAATGCCAGCCTCGTCAGGCGCTTGAACTCATGAAGTCTGGGAACCAGCGAATGCAGCTCCTTGGAGCAATTGCCATGAAAGTATTTGTAAAACAGACAGAGAGAGGCGACAATGCGCTTATTAAAAAGAAGTAATTATAGAAAAAAATGGAAGGAAAAAAAAAAAAAAAAAAAAAAAAAAACCAAGCAGGAAAAAAGTTTTTCCCCCCCACTTCTCATGACAAATAGTAAAAAATATTTACTAAAATTTCTTAAGAATTTTTTTCGTATTAAAATGTAACGTTTCAAAATTTACCTTTGCTGTAGGTATTTCCCCTTCATTTTCCACTCGTTCCATCGTTCCAGTAGGGAAATAAGGCAATAAAAGGTGAAATGATCGAGCTCGATACCTGAAATAAGACAATCAACAAGATAAAAAAACGTTTAGTATTGAAAACAAACATTACCTTAGTTTTTGTTTGTATATTACAGGATTTTTCAATTTATAACATACCTTTTTAAAAGATTTTATGTCAAAATCAACTTGTGCCCATTTGGAAACCCTTAAGTAGACATGCATAGTTCATTTGAACCTGTTAGTTTTTTTTTTTTTATAACAATAGTACAAATTTCAAATGTGCAATGTGACCAATCAGAGCATTTGATACAATTAGTAACAGTAATTGCTTAATTCATACTTCAATTTTTATTGGATTATAGCTTTTGAACTAAACTAAATAACCGTAAACCTTTTAATATTTTCTTATTTTGAGCTCTTTTGTGCTTAGAACATATACTCATTTTTAATTTATCACAGTGAATTTTTGTTCAACAAAAATCTTTTGAATGCAACAATAGCTCCCCTCTCCCACCCCAATAAAACAGTTTTCAAAATTACAGGTTCATCTTATAGACCAGTGAGTCTTATTCAAAAAACATACACTATAAAAGCACATGGCATTGTCACAATTTAACAACAGATAATAGTTTTTAATTGTTAAAAGTTATTTTTGATAAGAAACAGTAAAATATTAGAGCGTTTGGAAAGTAATTACATATTTCATTACTATGAATTATGAGTCAACCAAACAAGGCAGAACCAAAGTTGACAGCTTTACATTTATTCATGCATTTCAGAGTTTAATTGGGAAACTTGCAAAGAGATGAACATTTGCTTGAGAACTGGACACAACATTCCACTATCAGTAGCAGTCTTTTAACCAGCAACAAGAACATTTCATTTTTTGCATTGTATTGTTACAGGTGATGAAAAATGGGTTTTGCATGTCAACAGAAAATGAAAAACAGTGTTTTTCACAAAATGAGAAACCAGTGCCAACACCCCATTCTTACTTTATATCTGGTGGAAGATTAAAAAGGTGTTGTCCACTACAAACTACTGAAGGACCATCACTGCAGATGTTTACTGCCAGCAACTTGATCAGATAAATGCAGCATTATGCTAAAATTTAACCTAAAAGGGAAAAGGTGTTATTCTCCAGTATGACACAATGCAATACTTTGCAAGACAAACACAAGAAATATCATTAAGATGAGAAATTATTCTTAATCCTTCATGCTCACCAAGTTTAACACCTACAAATTTTCATTTGTTTTGATCCATAGAACATTTAAGAAACATTCATTACAGAACATTATGAAACAAAGAAGTTAGAAACAGTCTTTCAGAATTTTTGGTGAGGAAAAACCCAAATTTATTTAAATATGAAATTGAAAATCTGCCTTTTCATCGAGCTGGAGTCATTGAAAATGAAAGTGATTACATGTTTTATGTCGTATTTAAATACATTTAAATTACATTTGTTTTTATATTCATTCTGGTTTGGTTTATGGCATATCAACCTCAATGGGTTATTTAATGCAGACAATTTTTTTTTTATTGCTTGTAAAAAAAAACTATGGCTGGTAATATATTTTTTTTTTTTTTCAAAAAAGTATTGCTGGTAAGATCTTTTTCCAAAAAAGGTAAACTATTTTTTTTACAAAGTATTTCTGGTATTAAAACCAATTTTTACACTTTCATAGTGTCTTGACCCCAGTTTGGAGGGGTTAACTATTTGCCCATATCTGGGACCCTAACAGATTCTACCACCCCAGGTCAGGGTGAAACTGGGAACACCAGCAATTAAGAGGTGATTCTACACTCTTCAAAACCTCCTGATCAGAGGCCTTGCTGCTGGGCGTAGTTTATCATCTTACCCAGGACACGGATGTAGTTTATCATACTCAGGATGAATATCCTTTCTGGTGAAAGAAAAAAAAAAAAAAAAAAAAACTTTCCAAACAGACTAATATTAGACATTCAACTCAAGAATTTTAAGGTGAATATATTTTACATATTCTATTGTCCAGAAAAGTTACCAATAATGTTTGAGTAATGGTTTCCATTGAATATAGCTATATTAGCGTTGGTCAAATTTAAAAAATAACATTAGTTTACTAAGTTATTTACTAAGATTGGATTATGAATTTATACAATATAATCAATGATTCAAATCTCAAAATAACGCCTTTTCTCCTAAAGTTACCTCCCTTGTTATGTCAATATTGGATAAAAATTTGCTGATGTTAGAAACTTCAAAAGTTCCTCATAATGAAGATTACGAAGTTATAGATTATACCATCACATAAATAAAAATCACATAAGGGAATTTAGAAAAAAAAAAAAAAAATCTTATGAGAGAGTTTGAATGGTTGTGTAAAAATAAACCTCTTTTGTGTTTGTAGATATGGGCTTTTAACATAATGAAACTTGATTAACCAATAAAAATCAAACACAAATGTAAAAATACGAACACTTCTTTTTTACTCAATATCCCATTTAATGATGAAGCTTTAATAAAAGTGAAACATGTTAAATTGATAAGTTTTCTATTTGTTCTTTATTTTATCATTCTGTCAGATTCCGATCCATATTTGATCCCAACTCATGTTATCACAAAAAGGAGCCATATATGTGAAGAGAATGTTAATATATAAACATGATGTATGTCAACGAACACTCGTTGTCACTTTTGCAATGCTCGTTGTAGTAGAGACTTTACAATTGCAGATACAACTATGGTACACCGTTAAACAATACTGGTGTCAGACGCTTTCAAATATCACTCGCACTAATAGTACTTGCTCGATAATACTCGATCGAAAGTAACCACTGTATAGTGATCTAAATAAAGAAATAGTATAGTGAATAGAGTAGAGAATAGTGGCCCATATAGTGATAAAGTAAAAATGGTGATATGTATAGTATAGAGGATAGATTAGAAATAGTGATCCGAATAGTAATAGAGGAGGATAGAATACAAACGGCAATTGTTTAGATGTCACGCTACTTTTTACTTATGCTTTTCCTCTATGGTCATGTGATCTACTTAATTCAATAATGAGATTGCCTGTGTTTGCTCACTGGCAATCTATGTTCAAACTCAAGTGTCAGCAGCAACACTTATATAACACTCCTTTTGAAAATACCTCAATTTATTTTACAACTCTTTTGAGATGAGGTTTGATAAATTTCATAACACTATAGAAGGTGGACAATATTTTGTTTTTTCTTTTTTATATTTAGTCTCTGCTGCCATCTTGACTATTTTTTATCTCTTCACCAATATGGAAATGTTAAGTCTCTCAAGCTGAAATTATTTGAAAATAACACTGTTCTGTCACATATTTGGTAAAGTTTAACAATGGAACTTTGAGAAAAAAAATATAGGGACACCAAAATAATATTTTCAATATTATTCATAAAATTTTATATCCAAATTGAGTTTAACACAAACATTTTCCCCACAGATAAAATTTTTTTTTATAGACAGTTTCAAATGAATAAACCTATCATCTTGAATAAATGGTATAGTTTTTCAATTAAGGTTATTGTATGTAAAAAACATTTTTACTACCTGCAGCATACCTAGCACTTGTAAACAATATTATTGAACAATATTTACCAAATATAAAGAAAGGTTACATTTAGGGCCATTTGTTTTGACTGCAGATTTAAAAACAAAAAAAAACAATCAGCAATAAAAGCACTAGCCAAAAATAAAAATATCCCCTAACTGTAACTGACTTGTACTGTAACCCTCAAATAAATATCCAGTGTATTACTTAACCATAATGTGAATTTAGTTTGAAATGGCACAAGTTGAAAAAATGACAACTAATTTTGAATTAAACTAATTCATCTAAATGTCCCCCACTCTGCCCCATTCTAGGTCCACCAATGCTTACAACCAGGTAAATTGTTTTAGTTTAGAAAAGAAAAAATAGTAATCGTAATATTGGCCATTTTATAAGGAAATATTCAGC